CATCTGGTACATAGTCCTCTGCCTTTTCATTTTGTCTATCTTTCTGTGAATGTGGTTTTCCTTCCACAGGCTGCAGGATTGTAGTTCTTCTTGCTTCTGCTGTCTGCCCTCTGGTGGATGAGGCTATCTAAGAAACTTGTGCAAGCTTCCTGATGGGAGGGACTGGTGGTGGGTAGAGCTGGGTGTTGTTCTGGTGGGCAGAGCTCAGTAAAACTGTAATCCACTTGTCTGCTGATGGGTGGGGCTGAGTTGCCTCCCTGTTGGTTGTTTGGCCTGAGGCGACCCAGCACTGGAGGCTACAGTCTCTGTTGGGGCTAATGGTTGACTCTGGGAGGGACCATACCAAGGAGTACTTCCCAGAACTTCTGCTGCCAGTGTCCTTGTCCCTGTAGTGAGCCACAGCCACCCCCCACCTGTGCAGGAGACCCTCCAACACTAGCCGGTAGGTCTGGTTCAGTCTCCTGTGGGGTCACTGCTCCTACCCGCTGGGTCCCTATGTGCACACTATTTTGTGTGTGCCCTCCAAGAGCGGAGTCTCTGTTTCCCCCAGTCCTGTCAAAGTCCTGCAATCAAATCCTGCTAGGCTTCAAAGTCTGATTCTCTAGGAATTCCTCCTCCCGTTGCCAGACCCCCAGGTTGGGAAGCCTGATGTGGGGCTCAGAACCTTCATTCCAGTGAGTGGACTTTTGTGGTATAAGTGTTCTCCAGTTTGTGAGTCACCCACCCAACGATTATGGGATTTGATTTTATTGTGATTGCGCCCCTCCTACCATCTCACTGTGTCTTCTCTCTTTGGATGTGGGGTATCATTTTTGGTGAGTTCCAGTGTTTTCCTGTTGATGATTGTTTAGAAGTTAATTGTGATTCCTGTGCTCTCACAAGAGGGAGTGAGCGCACATCCTTGTACTTTGCCATCTTCAACCAAATCCTCTAACTGCTCTTGTCTTTATCTCCTGATTTGCCAGATGAAATTCCACTGCGTCTCCATCTTATCCCCCTCCCCTCCTAAAGTTAGTTGCTAACTTTCTTCTTATTTATTTCTGTATTACACTACAGTTTAAAATTCGCACCATACGACTCTTTCTAGGGCAGGATCATATCTGCTTGTGTTGTATCCAGCGTCCCTCTCGTGTCCTTGTGTGGTCTTGAGACCACAGCATGAAAACAGTGCTAAAGACTGAAAAGGAGCTGGGCATGTTTGGGAACAGAACAGGGCCCCAGGAGGCTGCAGCATTGTGGTCATTGGGAAGAGTGAAGATGAGGAGGCAGGGGCCAGGTCATGGTGTGCTTTTTAGCCATGGGGTAAAGTGTTTGGGTTTTATTCCAAGCTTTTGGGGAAACCACTGGAGGGATTTAAATATAAAAGTAATAGGATATAAATTATGTCTTAAAAAGATCTCTCTGGATGCTCCCATGTAGAATTGATTTTAAGAAATCAAGTGTACTCATCAAGAGATGAGTTGGGGGACCATTGTTTGAGTCCTGGTGGGAGGCAGCAATGACTGGAACTAGGCAATATGAATGGTGTCATATGGTTGTGATGATAATTTGGAAGGCGGTCCATGAGTGCTTATGGTTTGGTCTTGAGGAGGTGCCATATTGCTAGCTGGAAGGACAGGAATGGGGATGTTTACTGGTACTGGCCTCCATAGTTAGGTATAGACTTCTGTCATTTGGGAACCCAAATGAAGGAAGCGTGTCACTGCTGTGTATTTTTAGGGAAGTGTAAATGACAGTCACATCTTTTCTGCATCCTTCTGTGTCTTTACACAGGCATTTCTCTGTGTTTTGTCAACCTTCCCCTTGGGAACTTACAGTGTAGATCTTCAAGGCCTGAAATGCCTGAAATACGTACATTCGTGTGTGTGCTGGAACAAATCCTCCCTGACACACACCAGTGGTCACCGCTTACTACCTCTCCCACCCACTGTGTTGACGCCATCACAGTCTGGCTTGACCATCTTCTACCAGGTCCTCTGGGTGCCTGTCACTGCTTCGGTAGGATAAAGAGACGTTATTCACGATTGGCATAGTTACTTCATTCCCCAGAAAGGGACTAGCTTTCTGCAGGGTGGAAGGAAGAACCCAGGCAAAGCTTTAATGGTCTTTGTTCATTTAAAGTCCTACCAATCCCTCATTTAGTTTTGACTCTGTGGTTATGACATCAAATTAAAAAACAAACGACACAGGAAGGGAGATCTACAAGGCTTAGGTATCCAGCTCAGAGTATCACATATAGCTCAATGCCAATGATTTGTCTGACAACTGCAGGTAAGTCTCTGCTGTCTGAGGGTCTAAGAAATGACTCACTGGTGTTTAAGAGCCCTTTGAGTCAGATGCAGGGTGCTCATGGCTCCTTGCCCTGGGGTGGGAATGGGAGGGTGGGAGGGAAACGCAAGAGAGAAGGGATATGGGGATATATGTATACATATAGCTGATTCACGTTGTTATACAGCAGAAACTAACACAATAGTGTAAAGCAATTATACTCCATTAAAGGTGTTAAAAAAAAAAGTCACACGAAAAAAACCCCAAATATATAACGCTTTTAAAGCTTGGGAACAGAAAGCAATGGTACAGTGACTGATCCTTGAGCAGTGTTCTTCATTGGAGGGGACTACTGGCATTTTTGAGTGAGAAAACTGTGTTATTCTGGACCATTTTAGGCAGTGCAGGGCTTCAGCATCTCCACCATGGAATGCTGGTGTGACCCCCTAACCATTATGACAATCCCTAACATCCCCACATCACAAACGTGGATTATCCTCTTGGATTGATATCTTCCTAAACTTGAGTCCAATATTGGAGCATTTAACAGCACTGAAGATTCACCTTGCTTATAGTTTTAATTTAATATTAGATCTGTTAAGGAATTCCCTGGCTGTCTAGTGGTTAGGACTTTGCACTTCCACTGCAGGGGGCCCGGATCCAGTCCCTGGTCAGGGAAGGAAGATCCTGCAATCCATGCAGAGCGGCCAAAAAACCAAAAAAACAAAAAACCATTTAGATCTATTAGATAAGAACAAATTAAAGGCATGGGAAGATTTGTGTATTATCAGACAATGTCGTTCTTAAAAAGAAATTATTGATATTAATAAATATAGAGTGTTTAACTAAATTTGTAAATGGGACCAGACATTCATTAAGGAGGCCATTAAAAGTGATCTTTTCAAAATAAATCTCTTTTAGTTAGGGATGCATAATGAAGTCTTTATAGGTGACAAGAAATTTTCTTTAAGATACCCACAGGGATGATATGGAAGTATGAGGAGACTAGATGAAATTAAATGGACGAAGTGTGAATAATTCTGAATTTAGACATTTTATTTGAAAATATATTAACATAAAATTGTTATATTAAGGTATTCTGTTCTGAATTTTGGAGTAGATTTTTGTCCTGGTGTTTGGATTTTTAGTTTACATGATTATCTTACTCTTCTCATACCCATGAATAAGCTACAGTCCCCTAGACAGTTTTAAAGCCTGTAAGGAAGAGTAGGATTGCAAACAATGGCCTCCATGATCACAGTCTGTAATTTAGACTAGTTTGGCAGGTCATTGAAGCTCAGGCCAATCATCTTTCTCCTAACATTGATTTATTTTTGCAAATACAAATGCTAATGACAGTCTTTCAAGACGAATAATTCAGAAAGACAAGTTTTTAATGTACTTTATGTACATCCTGGAAAGCACAAAATGTTAGAGTATGATTATAATTTTGTAGGAAATACCTGTGCATAAACATTTCTGATAGGAATTATCTCTAATGTATTAATGATTCTGTCACTCAAATAACATAACTAAGGGTAACGTTTTCTCTTTCTATTTTAAATCTTGTATTTTCCAAATTTTCTTTCATAATCATTTTCCACTTTAAACTAAAAAACATAATTGCATGTTATTTTTTAAACTTGCCTTTTGGGGGGGCTTTGTTTTCAAAGTTAACAAAGTATTTGGAATTTATTTGAGACTTCTCAGCTGCACGGGTATTCCAATAGATACAAGTCCTTATTTTCTCATCACACATACGTGGTTGCGTTATCACCCCAAAAAATCACCACTGGAGGCTTGCTTGCTTCACCGAGAAAATTTACTGGATTGGGTTTGTGCTTCAAATTAGAATTAAGATTCATATAGTCACGTGCTTAATATTATATGTGTCTCAACCTTTTTGTCTTTAAAATGAAGGGATAGGGCATGAATTGAACACCGAGGGTCTTCTAGCTGTAAAATATAAAAAGTTAAAAAATTTTAATACCTACCTGGCAATTTTCCTAGTGGTTTTTTTTAATAGGTACTGGGATGACCTTGGGAAAGTGGCCATCATCTCAGTGGTCAAGCAAGACATTACAGAGCCTGTTTTTCCTTAGGTCAGAAGGAAAGGACAGTGGTCTTCAGGCTCAGTTTCTGAAGGTTCCGACTAATATTTCAAAATAAAATTCAGAGCTAACGTTGAAAAAAGTATCTCTTTGCATAAAGGTTTTTTTTTTTTTGGCTGCGTTGGGTCTTCGCTGCTGCGCAGGCTTTCTCTAGTTGTGGCGAGCGGGGGCTACTCTTCATTGTGGTGCATGGGCTTCTCATTGCAGTGGCTTCTCTTGTTGCGGAGCACGGGCTCTAGGCGTGCGGGCTTCAGTAGTTACAGCACGTGGGCTCAGTAGTTGTGGTGCACAGGCTTAGTTGCTCTGCGGCATGTGGGATCTTCCCGGACCAGGGCTCAAACCCGTGTTCCCTGCATTGGCAGGTGGATTCTTAATCACTGCGCCACCGGGGAAGTCCTGCAATAAAGATTTTTGCAAAGCAAATGACTTTTGAACTATGATTCTAAATGGCTCTGATTGTTTCTTGTTGTAAAACCAAATTAGATGAAGGATTGCCTGGGAGACTAGTTTAATGATGCTGCCTTGGTTGGATGGGTACTAGTTGACTCCATCAATTCATGGGATGGTTCATCAGAGTTTTGGGACAAAACATTTTATAAATGTCTGTCTTGTTTTGTTCAGGTTATACTGGAGAGCTTTGCCAATCCAAGATTGACTATTGTATCCTAGACCCATGCAGAAATGGAGCAACCTGCATTTCTAATCTCAGTGGATTCACCTGCCAGTGTCCAGAAGGTAAATATTATTACCCCAGGAATAACTTATGTTTTCCATTTTAAATCATACATTAATTTGATGACCTTGTACTTCAATTTTCTGAAAAATCTCTACTCAAGAGAACTTCCTATTTTGTTCCATTCGTAAAACAGTATATCAGATGGTCCTTTCCTTTTAAGCTCTGTGCTAGAATAGCTTGGAAATGATGTCTGAATATTAGACATAATCTCAAAATTTCTGCAATTTTCATTTATACGTTGAAAATGAATAACTATAATAAAATGGAATTTCTTTCTAATAGCAAGTTTCACTTGTTAAGATTCCTATTTTTTAAACTATGCATTTGGTTTACGTTAAAAAAATTTCAACATGAAGTTCATCTGTTTTTGTCTTTAAATCAACTTTATAACATCTTGGAGACTTCTAGTCCCCCGGAAAGCCACATCTTTAGAGCTACTTTTTTTTTTTTTTTTTTTTTGCGTTACGCGGCCCTCTCACTGTTGTGGCCTCTCTCGTTGCTTGCAGTACACGGGCCTCTCACTGTTGTGGCCTCTCCCGTTGCGGAGCACAGGCTCCGGATGTGCAGGCTCAGCAGCCATGGCTCACTGGTCCAGCCGCTCCGCGGCATGTGGGATCTTCCCAGACCGGGGCACGAACCCGCATCCCCTGCCTCGGCAGGCGGACTCTCAACCACTGCGCCACCAGGGAAGCCCTAGAGCTACTTTTAATAAAAAAAATAGTTGTACTGTTTTCAGTTTCACCTTGAAGAAGCAGGCAGATAATCCCAGCTATGGAACTGGTGTTCAAGGAATGATTTTGTACTTGGAGGAAGTTTTCTTCCCATTTCTGCTTGGAGGGATGCTATGGAAGGGATTGCTTTAAACCTTTAATATTGTAAGAATAACATGATGTTAGAGGTGTTTTTTTCTCCCTAAAATAATCAGGAGCATGTGAGCTCCTGATCCACAGAAGTGACCTTGACAGCTACATAGAATAGGCTCACATCCTTTGAAGAGATTAAATGTAGTGTCTGCGTGTATAAGGAAACATCTCTTTACTCAGAATAACTGAACTGCCCCTGGCTGAGAGGCTGCAGTGGGGCAGTGGTACAGATGGGTGTTGATAAAAGGCCACCGACTTCCTGGGTAACCCGAGGGCTCAGGGTTGCCAGGGGCGGCAGCCACTGTCGACAGTGCCTCATACCCTTCCATATTTTGAACACTGAACAGTGCAGTGGCTAAGGAAGTGAATTCTGTGTCCCGGCTTCTGCTCCCCTGGGCAGAGGCAGGAACGAGTGGCTGTGCCTCTTTTGGTTATCCCCAAGCTGTGTGTGCTTGTGATGGATGTGGTTACCATGATGATGGAGTTATATGTGCTGGACCATCTCCACTCTTCACTTGAGTGTCTTAAGCAAATGGGAAAACTGGAAACGTTGGCAGGCGGATGACTGAGTCAGCGGCACCAATTGTCACCCAATGTACAGAGCGCTGGGCAGTTTCTTACAGCTTTGCCGCACCCTGGGTTACTCGTTTGCCATCTAACTCTGGTTGTAGGCTGTGCTTAGAGTCAAGGGCGGGCTTCAGGGTCAGCGGCTGATTGACTGCTGACAAATCATTAATTCCCCAACCCTATCCGATCCTCCTTTCCCTTTTCTAGTGAATATGTGTGATGAGGACCCTGCTTCCCTCACAGGGACATTTTGGGATCGAATGGGATTTTGGAAAGCTCCAAAGTGCTTTATCATCATAGTTCTGATTGCTGCTGGGAAGTTCAGATGCCAGCCCAGAGGCTCTGAGAGGTAGTGACTTGCACAAAGTCACACTGGTAGTAAAGGATGACCCTTGAACCAGAGCCCAGGAATTTTGTGCTCACTCATGCTCCGTTTTCTCGTTTATAAAGATTTGCCAAGCACATCCTACATGCCAGGCACTGAGCTGGGTTGTGGGCCCTAGGGTTGGCAAAGCCCCTCCCATGGTGCAGACACAGGTAAGTCCATAGTTACAAGTGCAGGAATCGGTGCCTTGAAGACACAAAAGGATCTGCTTAGCTTTGGGGACCTGGGAGAGATGCCCACTTGTGGAGACCCTGAATGACGAGAAGGAGGCTGGCGCAGTTGAGGGCATCACCAAGGAGCAAAGGGAAAGGGGAAGAAAGTGGGTGGCAATGGCTGAGTCCTCAGGGCTTCACAGGGCTTTGTGCGTGGTGCTGGGGCACGTCATATTCAACCCAGATGGGAGGCCAGAGGCTTAGGTTTGAAGCCTGTTTTGCCTCTTGCTCACCAGCTCTGTGCCTGGGCAAGTGATTCCATACTTCTCTGTGTCTCAGTTTTTTAATCTGTAAAATTGGGACAGTGATAACGCCCACTTCCTAGGGCCCCTGAGGATGGAATGAGAAGATGCTTAGGTAAAGTGCTTATAGCACAGTGCCTGGGTAAGTGCTCAGTAAGTATTAGGCACACCTTATCATGACTGTTTTCCTAATAATGATTATTACTATTAAGCCACTGAAAAATTTAAACAGAAATTTGACATTTTTCTTGTGGAGCAGTGTGGAATGTGGGTTGGAGAGAGAGAAGACTGGGAGTAAGCAGAAGAGTTTGTGGGACTATTGTAGGAATCTGGGAAATCGACGTTGACTGCTAGGAAGGGAAGGTAGAATTTGAAAAGGAGAGAAGCTGATGGATTTGGGAGAACTTGGCAGGGAAAAGGGAGGGGCCTGGAGATGGATGGGATATGGAGGGGGAGGGAGAGTGACGGGGCAAGTCTGCGGCTTCTCTTACTTTACGGTTGGTTGTGCCATTCGTGGAGAAAAAGAAACATGGAGGAAAAGTGTTCTATCTTGGACATGTTGAGTGTGACATTCAAGTGGAGGTGGCAGCTGGGCAGTTGCTGTGAGTCTGGAAGTGAGCGGGGATGTCTGGGCCAAGTCTATACACAGAGACCTTGGTCTATACACAGTCATTTAAACCTGGCCGTCAGTAGGGTTGTCTAGAGACCTCCTCCTTTACCCGGTAGCCTATCACTTCCTCCATGCTGTCTTGATAAAGCCTAGAGAAAATGTGATGGTCTAGAATGGAAATGATGGAGATGAATTTCCCAGCAAGTCTTCATAGGAAGACTTTCATCAGGAGGTTTACCTTCACTGAAGATAGACCAGGGAAAGTGGCTTCTGTTATAGTGCGGAAGGATTCATTGCGATGTTTTGAAGCCTCCCAGCAGCCAGCATTTTAAAAGCAGCCCCTCCCACTGACCTGTTCTTACGGTGCTTTTTGTAGAAACTAACATTTACAGAGCACCTTGCACTTAGAAAAAGCCTGCGTCTCCAGGAGTTTTCTCATATCAGCCACGCTGTGAAAACAAGTTTGAAAGCGTTTCAAGTCCACACTGTGTTCTAAAGTTCAGAGCCAGCACTTGACCCTTGCCTGCCTCCTTTTCTTTCTTTTTTTCCCCCCCACCCTGCCCCCCGCAGTGATTAACATTTTGGCATGTTTGCTTAGTATTTACATCTATAGTTGTGTTTTGTTTTTTGGGTTTTTTTTTGTGGTACGCAGGCGTCTCACTGTTGTGGCCTCTCCCATTGCGGAGCACAGGCTCCGGACGCGCAGGCGTCTCACTCTTGTGGCCTCTCCCATTGCGGAGCACAGGCTCCGGACGCGCAGGCTCATGGGCCCAGCCACTCTGCGGCATGTGGGATCTTCCCGGACCGGGGCACGAACCTGTGTCCCCTGCATCGGCAGGCGGACTCTCAACCACTGCGCCACCAGGGAAGTCCCTATAGTTTGTTTTTTGGCAAAGTAATTTGAAAGTAAATTATAGGCATCATCACATTTCATCCCAAAATAAATCAGTCTAAGAACAGAATAAATCAGAATAAGAACATTCTCCTTGATATCTACAGTGCCACACCAAAGAAAATAAGTAATTATTTCCTAATATTATTTGCTCTCTGCCCCATTTTTACTTGCTCCTTTGCATGGTTGTGTTGATTCTGTCTGCCCTGTTCCCCTGTGATATTCTTTGAGGGTGGGAAATGTATTTTATTTATCTCTCTCTTACTAACTCTCATTATCCTATCATGGAGCTTTTAGTTCCATATTTTATGTTAGTAGGAGGTTAATAAATATTTGTATATTAATTTATTTTAAAAGTCAACACTTAGACGTCACTCACACTATGCTTAGTAACTCATTAGAAGGTTACAATACTATGAAGCAAATTATATTAATATTTCCATTGAACAGATTGAGAAACTGAGGCATGAGAGGGTAAATAACTTGCCTGAGATCACATAGCTAGAAATTGAAACCCAGGTAACTTAGCACTAACATTCTTAACCCTTGGCCTGTACCATCTCTGAATATATTCTTTAAAGTTAATTTTATTTTGTTTATTTTAAAAGATGGTCTTTGTAACCATAGTCATGAGTAAAATAAATTCAGTTTGTTGGGTTTTAAAACTTCTAAATGTCACTGCTTAAAAATCTTAAGCCTGGAAAAAGCTAGAAAAATTATTTTTTTCCTTTTTTTTTGGTAAGTGCAGTGAAATCCTTTTACAATAATCTCTCCCAGTCCAGAAAGCTATTAAAACTGGTTTTCCCTCTGGATAGTGCTTTCAACACTGTTCATTCACATCCTTGCTCTTTTCTGTCCTTTTAATCTTCATCCTATTTCCTTCAAGGAGCCTTTTCCATCTGATCTGGGCTGAGTCCTTAGAGGTTACATTTTTTCCTGAGGACCCATCTCTTTTTAACCTCTCTCCAGAAGTTCAAGGTCAGGGAGGGCTGAGAGACCGCTTGTACAGTAATTATCACATGAGTTCTCCTTCTGGAAGGTATTCGCTCTTCTATACTTACATTTTTATCCTTCATCAACGAGCCCTGTCTTTTCTTTGAATTTCGACTTAATTTTAGCTAGGTCCATATTTGAAAAGTGCAGTTTCAGATTCTGGTTAGAGTAGCGTTGTTAAGAAACAAAAGTAAACTTGTCATGAGTGTTTTCTTATTTTTAACTTATTGAAAAC